AAGACCCAGGGCCATCCAGAGCCGTGCTGAAGGTCTTTGCCAGCAGCTAGGAGTTCAGGATTGAGTGGTCAGTTGAGGGGCCTCCATGATGGCTGAGCTCCCTTATGTCCCATATTCACATTATACATGTGATCATAGTCCCGGAGAGAGATAAGGTCTCAAGAAAAGATCTCTGACCCACTTTTCACTGGGGCCTTCTGATTATATGCTGTTAAAAAGTAGGAAACGGGGTCCCTAGTAGACTTGCCTGGAAGGAGATATGGGTTACTTCTGTTGGGAGGTTGGGCCTGAGCATCTCCTCAAAGAGAAGTTGCCATCCTCTCCTTAGCCCTTTCCCAAGCACTGTAAGCAAGGAGTCAGGCAAAGCCTCAATTAGAGGGTTGGTTGGGTACCCAATAGTTTTCCAGCCAGGCCCAGCCTGTGGCCATCTGTTGAACAGAGAAGGTCTGATTGTTTTCCCATACGATCTTCCCACTTGAGAGTTTATTTCTACTTGGAAAACAGGATTCTTAGCATCTTTGATATCAAAAAGCTGTCTTGGGGTTGTGCCAATTAATTACCAAACGTTGAGCCTGTGGGTTTTAAGTGGGAGTATTATCCCAAGAGCCTTATTTCAGCCAATTACCTTTCTTGCTAATAGGAGCAGCTTCCCTCTCATTCCTTCTCTTCACTCTACTTCTTTGTTTTCCCTGTTCTTCATCCCACTGCTTCCCCATCCTGGATGGTAAGAGACAGTGACTCCCTGCTCAGGGACACTGCCTACTGGGTATACCATGTGCCTATGGAAACGTTCCCTGAGCCTGTGAGCACCCCTGGTGGGGAAATGGACAGGAGCCATTGGCCAGAACCAGACATAATCAGGAGTTTTTGTAAAGCTCCACTGAGAGTTTTAATGGAATATATGTAGCATGATATTTTAGAAGAAGAAAATATCATTTAAATAATTGAATCATGCAACAACCAGGATGACCTCTGGGCCCTATTCTGAGGACAAGGTGACTTTATTTTTCTGTTATTAAGACATAGGAAGATTTAATTTTTATATGGTCAATTTCCAGTTGAAGGCACAACACTAATCAGATTTCCATGCCCAAAACTTGGGGACTAGACCAACTAGTATTGAGGGAACTCTGCCACCTATGCAAAATCCATGGATAAAGTAAGTTAAATGACACTACTGCCCTGATTACTCCTTAGGATGTGGTCAAAGCATCGTCAGATATTCTCTCCCTTCCCCCAAGACAGTGTCCTGAACCTGTCAAATTAAGTCATTGGATTTTACTCTGTTCTGTTTACAGTTTACTATTTAAGGTTTTATAAATGTAAATATATTTTGTATATTTTTCTATGAGAAGCACTTCATAGGGAGAAGCACTTATGACAAGGCTATTTTTAAACCACGGTATTATCCTAATTTAAAAGAAGATTGGTTTTAAATAATTTTTTATTTTCATAGGATGAAGTCAAAGAAAATACTCAGCTGTATACACAAAGTCTGGTTTTTCCTGCCCAACTTCCCCGTGGAAGGTGTACTTCTTATTGTTTAATGTCTAGTTTGTTTGTGCCCTGTTGACATAAAAGTTTCCTAGGTTTGCTCTTTGACAATAAATAGAAAAGGAAGGTCACCCAACTCCATTGGGCCACTCTTCTTTCCCACACTCTCTCCTTTCTGTTATTAGCTCAGAGTGGTGAGAGGTGGTAATCCATTTTTCCCTCATCTGTCCTACTTCAAAGTTAGCAACCAAGTTGAATGACAACCTGACATTTTGATCACCATCAGCCTCATAGATCACCTCGTTCCCTTTCCTCTACCCACCAAGTCCTCATTAGCTGCAAAGAATCCACAGATCCTCCGGTGCCCCGTTTTGGGGCAGCCTGTTGAAACTGAAGCACAGTCTGACCACTCACAATGAAAAAAGATTTCTCTCTGCCTTTGTCAGCCACGAGGTTTCAGAGCAGTGTAGTCCAGTGGAGGCAAGACAGCCTTTTCTCCACATGAGAAGCCTGTTCCTATGGAAGTCTGACAAAGCAGTAGGACCCAGCTCAGCACTCTGCTCCAGGACTAATGGTTCTGCTGTGCCTTCCATCCTGGGCTCCCTGTTCTTCCGTGACCTTGAGAACTTTGTTTGGTGGCTTTGCTGGAACATTGTTACTGTTTTCACTGGCATGCAGGGAGCACAGAACTGTGGCCAGGATGGCAGAGACTTCCTTGTTCATGGAGAAGTGCCAGCAGGGGACTGGGGAAAAGCACTCTGCCCAGACCTCACCTCCTTTCCTCCTTTTGCCCATGAACGAGACATGGTGGCTCTAGGGGTTCTACTATTGTCTGGTTTCCTTTATTGCACTGTGTGAGATTTTTTTTTTTTTTGTAAATCCTTTTACTCATTTTCCCCCCAAGAAAAAACCCTTAAGCTGCATTTGTTACTGAAATGATTAATGCACTGATGGATCATGAATTCACCTTGAGAAAGACCCAAAGGCCAGTCTAGGGGTCGGGGAAACTCAGCTAAACTGACCTAGTTACTGCCCTGCTAGGCCATGCTGTACTCTGAGTCCCCTTCCTCATCCTCTTTCTACCAGTCCCAAACCCTGAGGCCAGGGGAGGACCCCACATCTTTCCTTCTGCCAGCTGCAGATCATTTGCCTTGCCTTTCCACTCCCTAATTGTAACCACAGAAATGAGAAATTCCTCGTTACAGCTCAGCCTTGAGTTCATTGCCAAAATTCAGCATACCTGCCAGCAACTTGGGAAATGAGCTAAGATTTCCCCACAAGAAGGAAACAAGGCAAAAGTGCAGACTGAGGAACTGTGGTGGGTCATTCCTAAGAATAAGCCAAAGGGGCACTCCAAATCTCTAAGGAGTAACAGGCTGCAAACCTGGTCAGTTCTCAGTGAGAGAGCCAGCTCCCTTACAGCTTTGCTGCTAGAACCTGTTACGGCTGCATTTCCTGGTGGCCAGTGACAACCGTGTATCCAGAATAGCTGCATGGGGCTGACCCTTTGGCCGGAACTTGGTCCCTTGGCTCCCGCTATGTTACTGTCCACCACCCCCAGCCCAGCCCCTCCTGTTTTTAGACCAATAACAAGAATTAAAGGGGAAGCCCTGGCAGCTATATATGTTTTCAACCAGTCTCCTTTTCCGGGATCCAGGCCACTGCCCTGTTTGCCTCTGTCAAATCCCCGGCCAATGCAGTGAGCACCATGCAGCTCCCTTGATTTTAAAAAAGAAGAAAAAGAAGAAAGACAAAAAATAATCTTTTAATGAATGTATCTTTCTAAAGGACTGATGTTCAATCAAATATCTGAAAATACTAAAGGTCAAAACCTTGTCAGATAATAACTTTGATTTGGGACTTTTAAATAGGATTTTTTTTTGTTTTGTTTTTAAAGGAAAAGCGGGTCACTGCAAAGGGCTGGGTGTAATTTTGTTTCATTTCCTTCATTTAAAGCAATACAAGGTTATTGAGCAGATGGTTTTGTGCTGAATCATGAATACCAGTCAAGTCTCACACTCTGAAAACTTGCAATTTTTTGTCTTGGTTTTCAAATAAATATAAATATGATATATATAGGAACTAATATAGTAATGCACCATGTAACAAAGCCTAGTTCAGTCCATGGCTTTTAATTCTTTAACACTATAGATAAGGATTGTGTTACAGTTGCTAGTAGTGGCAGGAAAATGTCAGTCTGGCACTTCTCTGATCCTCTGAAATGGAGAAACCCAAACCATAAAGAGATGGTGGAAACAGCCCATTCCTAAGGGTCAGAAAGAAATGCAGAAGTGGTGTCACCTGGATCTTTTTTCTGCCAGTAAATGTTGCCAGGCAGTATCTGTACTCCTTGTTCTCTATTTTTGGTTATGAATGTTGGGGTTACCACCTGCATTTAGGGGAAGATTGTGTTATGTGCTTTCCTGGTATCTTGTTCTGAGGTACTCTAGTTCTGTCTTTCAAACAAGAAAATAGATTTGTGATGTTTCTTTCATTGAATTTTTAACAGTCTCTTTAGTAAATACAGGTAGTTGAATAATTGTTTCAAAAGCTCAACAGATAACAAGCTTCTTTTTTAGAAATAGGACATTTCTTGACAACTTTATCATGTATAACAGATCTTTGGTTGTTTTTTTTCCCCTGTGTTCTTCCAAGCTTCTGGTTAGAGAAAAAGAAAAAAAAAAAAGAAAAAAATATGTGTCTAAAATCCATCAGTGTTAATAACTCCCTGTGACAGGGATGAAGGAAAATAACTTTAATAGTTCAAAAAATAATAATGCTGAAAGCTCTCTACGAAAGACTGAATGTAAAAGTAAAAAGTGTACATAGTTGTAAAAAAAAAGGAGTTTTTAAACATGTTTATTTTCTATGCACTTTTTTTTATTTAAGTGATAGTTTAATTAATAAACATGTCAAGTTTATTGCTGCACATGGTGGAGCTTTCTTTTGGCATTGCTGGGGTGGAGCGATGGGGGAGGGGTGTGGCCTGTAACCTGATTATAGAGGACCTTCCACAGTCCTTTATTTTAAGTTGAAATAATTAAATCGCTCTTCATTGCCTTTCACACTGGCTCTCTTAACTGAATTTTCTTTCCGTATCAATGATGTATATTCAGGACCTGATTAATTCTGGATAGGAAGATGGGCTCAAGAAGACAAAGGAATAGCTCCTGTACTGCCTACATACTTCCCTCCTAGAAGCAGTTTCTAGGGATTTTCTCCCAATCTGTGAATGTAATAAGAGCATTTAAGGGAGAACCTGGACAGCACCCTCTCTTTGCTCTACTCCACCTTAAGGCTGAAATTGGATTTATTTACTGTTTCTCCTAGGACTGGGGTACTGGTGGGGAGGCAGTTGAGAAATACCTGTAAATGTTCTGCCAGGCCGGGGTCACTAACCTCTGGCCAAGGGAGGTTGAGTTTACACTACAGCCAAAAGAATGGAAGACACTCCTGTTTATGGGGGATGGTCCTCATCCTCTCTCTAGATCAATTGGCTGTGAAGCTCCGTCACCACCCACCACTTATTCCTCCCTCTCTCATCCTGAGTCACCTTTTCGGATTTTTGTAGTTGAGCATCATGGGGACTCTAAATGATCAGGCAGTATTACAGGCCATCTTCAACCCCAACACCCCATTTGGAGACATTGTTGGGTTGGACCTGGGAGGTGAAGCTGAGAAAGAAGTAGAAGGTGAGTGTTTGACCCTGGAGTATAGCTCTCCACATTGGCTAGTGTGCAGGCCTCCCTAGGGAAGCAAAAGGAATGGTCTTTTTCTTTTGCAGTGGGGGTGGGGGGGATGGGGGTCTTCCAAAGTCCCTTGTTTGTTCCATGCCCCTTGGACAACGATTGAGGTTGGAATTAAAGATTGGCTGTACCTCAATGTACTGATGGGGGTTTGGCAAGAGTCACTGTCAGGAAGAGAGAGCCAGAGTTTGTTTCAATCCTTTTGTCCCCACACTTCTAAACTTACTCACCACTTAATTCTCTCTGTGATCTAAGCTTAACTGTTGACATGTAGGAGGGTGACATTAAACTCTCCCATGTTCGTTAAAACAGAGGATGTCATCCCACAATGGAAGAGGGCAGGGCATGGCTCCAGTGAATGGTTCCAACCTAAGCAAGCATTCAGTGTTAACATATTATTACAAGCCAAGCATTGAGTTGATCCTTCCACAATGAGTGCACTTTGTGTTGAAGGTAATATAGTAGAACAAAATGGAGACAGGCTAAGGATCCAGAAAGACCTGGGTTCAAATCCAAGCTATGCAACATATATACTATATGACCTTGAGCAAGTATTTTAGCTACAGTGAGCTTTATTCTCTTAATGGGGAGCCAACCAAGGTCCCCTTCCCAGATCTCTTTGTGACTTAGGCAGTACCAGCTCTCGGTCTTAGTGACCTCAGGTCCCCTGCCCCAAATATTGTACCTGACTCCTGTGACCCATACCTCAGCCCAGTAAGTTCTGACTCAGGTTTCTAAAGCCTAAGGTGGCTTTTGCTTCTTGCTCCCAATTGTACATTCTCCTGGCTCCCTCCTTGGCACAGATGGAGTTTTCCCTCAAGCACAGTTGGAGCAGTCCAAGGCCCTGGAGCTGCAGGGAGTGATAGCAGCTGAGTCCGGTGACCTTAGCACAGCCCTGGAGAGGTTTGGCCAAGCCATCAACCTGCTGCCTGAGAGGGCATCAGCCTACAACAATCGAGCCCAGGCCCGGCGACTCCAGGGAGATGTGAGAGGTGAGGCTAGCTCTGGACCCTCTGCAAAAGAGGCCCTGGAGTACACAGACCAGAGATGAAGTGGTGGATCTGGGGAATGGGGTGGGGAATCATTAAACCCCTCTGGAATCTGCATTCTTACCTATAAGATATTCTGGGCCCTGCTAATCTCTTGGGGCTATTAAGAAATAGCAGAATAGACTGTATTCCATTTACTTATTTAATGGGAATCTACTTTGCGGCAATGGGCCAGGTGCTGAGGACACAAAAGATACAGCAACTAAGGGACTTTACATGTCATCTGTCATAACTAATTTAATCCTCACAACAACCCTGAAAGGTAGGTATTACTGTTATCTCCCTTTTCTAGATGAAGAAACAAGCATGGAGGTTAGGTAGCTGGCTACTCTCCTACAGCTGAGAAGTGGCAGAGCTGGGATTCAAACCAGGTGGCAATGCTTGAATAATACTGCCTCGTACATCCTAGGGGGTAGGACAGACATATAATTATGATACCACCATAACAGGTTAGGAGGGATCTGCTCCTGAAGGATAAATTTTAAAGGGTGAGTAGGAGTTAGCTGGATAGAGGAGGAGTTGGGAAAGCAGTCTATAGAGGTCCAGAAGGCATGAAAGAAAGGTACAGGAATTTACAGTCTCCAGGCTGACCAGGACAGAAAGAGGAGGAACTGTGCACTAGGGCCAAGAGGTAAACAGGAATCACAAAAGAGTCGTTTGTTTTTTAAAGATTTTACTTTATTTCAGAGCGGGGAAGGGAGGGAGAAAGAAAGGGACAGGTATACCAGTGTGTGATTGCCTCCTGTGTGCCCTCCACTGGGGACCTGGGCTGCACCCCAGGCATGTGCTCTGACTAGGAATTGAACCAAAGGCCCCTTGGTTCGCAGGCTGGCACTCAATCCATTGAGCCACACCAGCCAGGGCTCACTAAAGGGTTTTAGCTGCTGCATTGTGGTAACTGGCTGAAGTGGGGACCATGGGACAAAGGGAGCCATCCACGCTGGGAACCGGAGAGCAGGTCCATCAGTGGTGTAAACCACAGAAAACTAGTAGGGAACTACTAGACTATTAAGACTTGGTGCTGGAGGTACCCTTGGGACCAGTAATGCCAGGCTGGAGAGTCTGGACTCTATTATAGGAACAGTGGAGAACCTCAAGGGCCCCTTTTCCAGGCTTGTCTGCCACCTGGCTCTGTTAAGGCAGTGTTGTTAAAGGCTGCTGGAGATAGCCTGCAGGCCAAAACCCCAGACAGGATCAGAGGCAGTTCTCCAGGAGGTGGCTTTCAATTCCTCCAGACTAGTTTCTCTGAGAGAAACCAAGAAATGTCATCAGAGAGCTTCTCAAAGGTGCAGGTCCAGGTGCAGTGGGGGACATAGCCCTTGTGGGGTTCCAGGGATCAAGACAAACACAACTGGAAAGTTGGCCTTGCTTGAGAGCTCCCCAAGCACCCAGATGAAATGCAGCTCAGTGGACCCTACAGTGGACAGCAGCAGGTTCCTGGAGGTTGAGTTCAGATGCCTAACCCCAGGACTTCATGAGAACAATAAAAATTAAAATGGAGCAGGCCAACTCTGGCTCCAAGACCTTCAAAGAAAATTAGATACAAAATAATGAAGATTATGGAAATAAAGAATGAGGAGAAGCAGTAAGTGGAGAAAACAGGTGAGGGAAACTTAAAAATCACACAATGGGCCCTGGCTGGTGTGCCTCAGTGGCTCTGCCTGCCTGCCTTGGAACCAAAAGGTCACCAGTTTGATTCCCAATCAGGGCACATGCTTGGGAGGAGGACTAGGTTGCGCGCTGGGTCCCCAGTTGGGGGCGTGCAAGTGGCAACTAATTCCATGTATTTCTCACACTGATGTTTCTCTACCCCTCTCAAAAAAAAAAAAAAAAATCACAATGGAAGATGAGAGAAAAGCCTTCAAAAGGAAAAGAGAAATGTACCGTATTTGTAAGAAACAGTTGTTAGTAAGTATAATTATATTGGACTCTTGGATTCAGAGTTAGTCACCTGGTACATGGAGGATGGTTAATTACATATCAATATATGTGGAATAAATTGCCAGCTACATGACAGCAACGGGCCCCATTCATGAACACAGTGATCATTTAAAATGCTCCCAGCAACTTTCATGTTTTGGTGTGAGACTTAAGTCCTAGCTCTGCCACTAAGTGGCTGTACAGGCAGACATGTCTTCCCCCAGCTCTTCCAGTCTTCATCTGTGCAACAGGAATAGCAATAACTAACTACCTCTAGGTTAACGGGCAGGCGGGCTGTAAAGGGCTGAGCCCGAGGCCCCAATTCTGAGCCCAGATTCTATGCTCGCTCGTCCTGCAGGAGCCCTGGAGGACCTGGAGCTTGCCTTGACGCTGAGCGGCGGGCAGGGTCGCGCCGCCCGCCAGAGCTTTGTGCAGCGGGGGCTACTAGCGCGGCTGCAGGACCGGAACGACGACGCCCGCAGGGACTTCGAGCAAGCCGCGCGGCTGGGCAGCCCCTTTGCGCGGCGCCAGCTAGTATTGCTCAACCCATATGCAGCGCTGTGCAATCGCATGCTAGCCGACATGATGGGGCAGCTGCACGGTCCCAGCAACAGACGCTGAGCCGGCCAACGGACAAGGGAGGGGAGGGCCCTGCACCAATAAAACTGCCGACTCACACGAATCCCGCCTGTATCTGCTCCCACACGCGGTCCCCTCTGGAGAAGGGGATTGGGGAGGGTGGACAGCTCAGGGAGTGCGGGGAGGGATAAGTAGCTGAGGTCCTTGCAGCCTAGCCGGAGGGGCCCATCAGCGTGGTCAGGCATTGATTGGCCAAGCCTGGTGCTCCCTGCCCCACAGCTCACTGCAGTGCTCACCAGGCCTGAGCAGTTGCTCCAGGCTGAGCTCCAGCGGACGGCTAGGCGAGCAGCCCCAGAAAGTGGGGTGGGTATTCTTTGCGCTCCCCGCAGGCGAGACCACTTTTCCTTCAGCAGCAACCCGAAGGATGGGAAAGGGGGCTTAGGGTGAGAGATGCGGGGAGGGGGCAAGAGAGACGGTCTGCAGTAGGACGTTCCTTTTGGGGGAGGAGCACGGTGGTGGAGTATTAGCATGTGTGTGCCTGGGCCAGGGGTGGCTGCAAATGTGCTGGTTGTTTCTTTGTATCCTTGGGGGCGTGCCTGTTTGTCTCCTGCATCCAGAGAGTTGATTTGGGCTTTTGAGCTTGGCTGTTTGAATCCTTGTCTTCACCCCTGTAGATTGGTCTACATTTGTGTTTGCGTTTTCATGGTTTATTTTTGTTTCTGTAAAGTTAATTCCCAGAGGAATTACTAAGTAGGCCTGATCTCACCTGGTTAATGTCAAAGCCCGACCCCTTCTCTCGGCAGCTTGGGTCCTAGGCCGGCGCCACCATGTCGCTGCCTCCACACCCAGTTACCATCCTTCACACACTGCTGCTCCTGCCAGCCCTTTTGAGCTCAGGTACTTGGCCCTTACCTGGGCAACACCCCTCTTCATCCCTTGGTCAAGCACTTTTGGGATCGTGTCTCCTCCTCTCTCCTCCCTTCGTTTTGGGTACTCACTTCAGGCTTTATGCAGCAGAACTGGGTTTCCCCTCACACACCCACCCAAGATACAGCCAGTTCCTGGTGAGAGAACCCAGGTGCTCTGTCTCTTGGCCTGCTACCCATCTGTAACTGGACCTCATCTTGGTCACAGAATAATACCAACCCTAGCCAGAAACCCCTGTTATTTTCCAGGTTGGGGAGAGTTGGCGCCACAGATCAATGGTCAGACCTGGGCCAAGCTGGCACTTCGGGAGAATGAACGCTATCCCTTCACCTGCCAAGTGACAGGAGGGTCTGGCATCCCCCAGTTGTCCTGGTACCTGGATGGACAGCTGCAGGAGGCCAGCACCTCAAGGCTGCTGACTGTGGGTGGGGAGGCCTTCTCTGGAGGCACCAGCACCTTCACTGTCACTGCCCAGCGGGCCCAGCATGAGCTCAATTGCTCCCTACAGGACCCAAGCAGTGGTCGGTCAGCCAACGCCTCCATCATCCTCAACGTGCAATGTGAGTGCCCCTGAGGTGGGCAGGGAGAGAGGTTCACTGCCCAGGGACCCCCAGCGGCTACCTGGCAGGTGGTCTGGTAAGACTTTTAACAAACATTTAAGTGCTTTGGAAGCATTAACTAACTTTAATCCTTACAACAATTCTAAGAGGCAATTACTATTGTTATCCCCACTTTATATATGAGAATATAGGCACAGAGAAGTTAAGCAATCTGGCAGAGGTCATACAGCTGGTAAGAAGAAGAGCCAGTATTCAGATCTGTACATTTTGACTCTAGTGTTTATACTCTTGATCACAACAAAATGCTGCTTCTCAGGTAGACATAATCATCCTATTTCCCAGTGTCCCCTTGAGGAGAGGTCCCTTCTGGGTTTGGGAAGAAAGGGCAAGGAGTATGAGGGGCTGTGGTGAGAGCATATTGGCCTCTGCTTTGCACCAGTTAAGCCGGAGATTGCCCAGGTCGGTGCCAAGTACCAGGAAGCTCAGGGCCAGGGCCTCCTGGTGGTTCTTTTTGCCCTGGTACGTGCCAACCCACCTGCCAATGTGACCTGGATCGACCAGGATGGGCTGGTGACTGTCAACACCTCAGACTTCCTGGTGCTGGAAGCCCAGAATTACCACTGGCTCACCAACCACACTGTACAGCTGCAGCTTCGCAGCCTGGCATACAACCTCTCTGTGGTAGCCACCAATGATGTGGGTGTCACCAGTGCTTCACTTCCGGCCCAAGGTGAGTGTGGAATCTCAGTACAGAAATGGGGGGATTTGTTGCCCTTTGGATGAGGCCTGTGAATGAGTGGTCCCCAGCCACCTTGGGCAATGAGGACAGAGTAGTGCCTGTGGCATCTCAGAGTTGGGGGCCCTGCTTACTTGGAACCTAACCAAAGGACCACCTGCAGGACTCCTGGCCACTCAGGTGGAAGTGCCACTGCTGGGCATCATTGTGGCTGGAGGGCTATCCCTGGGCACCCTGGTGGCATTCAGCACTTTGGTGGCCTGCCTGGTCTGCAGGAAAGAAAAGAAGACCAAAGGTAGGGCCAAAGTGGTGGGGGGAAGAGGGCGGCTGGGGAGTGGAGGTGAGGTCAGGGTGAGCAGGAGGGCAGAAAGAGTTGGGCAGAACAAGTCATCTCTGCAGGCTAATCATGGGTAATCATGTGCATCCCAGGGGACAGAACTGGGCATCAGAGAGACCCCTTGCCTAAGAGTCCTGGGTCTAAAAGGGCAGGTGGGCAGAGCCCAGAGTGGGTGAGCACATTGAAAACCGTGTTATGGTTTCTTTCTCCTTAGGCCCCTCCCGACGTGCATCTCTGATCTCTCGGTAACTCTTCCTGGGGCTGGGTAGAGGGGCTGAATGGAGATGTAGCATGGGGACAGATGGGAATCTGCCATTGCTGGTAGTTCTGGAACTGGTCCCAAAGAAGCCTGCTGGAGCCAGGGTGTATCTCCAGGCTTTGTCCACCTTGTAGTGACTCCAACAACCTGAAACTCAACAATGTGCGTCTGCTGCGGGAGAACCTGTCCCTTCCATGTAACCTTCAGCTCAATGACCTCACTCCAGATTCTAGAGGTACATCCAGGACCCTCTGTTTGCCCCTGCTTTATCTTCAGAAGTGCTCTTAAGAAAAAGAGAGACCTTGGTACTTAGGAGGGACAAGGTCCATCAGGCACATTCCTTGTCCTGGGCACCACCCGCTTTGTCACCCAACAGGGAAACCGGCAGACCAGCAGATGGCTTGGAAAAACAGCCGACCAGAGCTTCCGGATTCAGAGCCTGGTGGCCTCCTCACCAGCCAAGGTACTCTCCTCCTCCACACCTAAGCCCTTGTGCTTTTGCCTCTAGGTCCCCCGGGGCAGAGAAGGGTCTCCTAACTCCCCAGAATGTGGGTTACCAAGACTCTGGGCATCTCTGACCCTGCAGGTTTCATCCGTCTACCAATGCTGGGCTACATCTATCGAGTGTCCAGTATGAGCAGCGATGAGATCTGGCTCTGAGCTAAGGGCAAGATGGAGGGTGCCATGGGCCCTGGGCACTCTTCCACTCCTCCAAGGCATCCTCTGTCCTGCCATGTTGCCAGTGAGAAGAGGCCAGTTCCACTTTTGTTGCACCCCTAACTGGAGTGCCCTCTCTGTCATCCATGTGATAGTTCTGTTGGGATCTGACCCTCAGGGGCACAGGTATCCTTGGCAAGATGCCGGCTGGACCTAAACCCTTGTTCTAACTCGGGTTGCGGGTCTACATGTGATGCTTGTGCCCAAGCAGATACAGCTCTTCGCTCACATGTTCAGATGTCATCTGGTATCTTAAGTGTGGCATTGGCTTGGGCCTGCCCTGCCTCATACCAGTACTTGGCACCTTGTACAGCTGGCAGGGGTTGTGCCTGGTTGTGGGACAAGGAAGGCCTTGCATGTCTTGGATTTCTTTTCCTGTGCTATGTAGCTTTGTTCCCTCAGGGAAAATTCAGGACCCCGCTAGCCATATAGAACCAAAATGTTCTTTGCACAGGTGACAACCCCTGGCCTGGGGGCATTGGCCAAGCACAAACTATTCTTTTTAGCTGTATACCTCTATTTTTTCTCTGTCCCCACCTTCTCTTGGGCATCATTGGTTATATATTAGACCTCTTCCACTTCCTCACTGGGCACCAGACTTCCCTATTGGCCTGGTCTCTGGTGGTGCTAGTGCCTGGTGTTATCATAAATCAAGAGAAAAGAGGGAGATGAGAAGTCTAGTGGTGTCCAGGACAGCATGTAGCTATGCATCTTCTTAGTGTTTTTCTTACAGTTAGCACTTTAAACACCTCCCCTGGGGAGGGGTGAGTGAGAGCCTTCTCTGTGGGTTCCCCAAGTCTGGTCTTCCTGTGATGCAGTGAGTACCCTGAGCCCTTGGAGTTGATGGTTTCCCTCTCCACATGTCTTCCCTTCATGAGAGCTCAGCCCTGACCAACCCTACTGCCCCTCAGCAGGAAGCCACTCTTCCCGTCCCACCCTCTGCTCTTCAGGGAATGTTTATAGTGGCACATAATTCAACAGTTCCAGAAGCTGTTGGAGGACATGGAGCAAGAGGGACACCACATACCCCAATACAGCCTTAGGACATGTTACAAAGCAACATGGAAAAGATTGCAAATTAAATATATTTCTCCCTTGTTACCTTGTTTTGTCATTTTTCTCATGTTACAGCCAGGCACAGTGCTGAGCACACAGTAAATTCAATAAACTTGACTGAATGAATGTTACATGTCTTTCCTTCCTTCAAATAGGTTTCTTAATGAAATCTTCAAGTCACACAGTAGAGAAAATATAGCAAATACCTGTGTGCCCGCTACTCAACTCTTGAAACTTAACACTCTATTTGCTTCAGATCTTTTGGGGTTTTTTAAAAATATTTCTCTAAATACCAGTGACAGGGCTGACATTTTCTATTTCCAGAGTGCCAGGTGGGGATCATAGTTATACCCAGTGACTGCGTCTCCTTTGGCCTCTATCACTTGGGAGAGTCTTCCCTCCTCAGGACTGTAGCTAAGCAACACTGAACCCCTTTTCCCTGACCAGAGGTACAGAAGGTTCAGACTAGGTTGTGGTTTTCCAAAAAAAAAAAGGGGGGCGGTGGGTCATGGGGGGAAAATAAGACTGGAAATGGGCCTAGTTATGGGAGACAGATTTGTAGTCTATCTTTTTTAGTGACAGCCTTGGCTTGCAGAACCATGGCCTTTGCTCACCTCTCTCATTCAGTCTTTTCCTGCATGGGACCAGCGAATGCTGCCCACCCCCCTGAGAGGAATTTAGTTCCCACCTCTTCTGGTATTGCTTGTAAGCTCCTTCATGGTTTCAGAGTGTTTAGGAGCCAGGATACCCTGCAATCAATCCTGTTGACCCTCATCCACCCCCCTTCCTTGATGGTTCTTCGGCAAGGCTGGAAGCCCAGGTCTTACTTTAGCAGAAAGGTTTGCTCTTCCTGGCAAATCTGCTATCCTTGCAAGTGTTTGCTAAGGGGTAGACTTTCAAATTAGTGTCCCAATTCTCCATGCACATCCCTTAGCTTAGAAATTTCTTGCACCATTGTTGAGTAACTCTTTGAAGGATTTGAAGAAAGTTCACTCTTATGAGAAAATGCAGATTTAAAAACAAACACCTCATTATGCAGGTCAAAGCCCATCAAATTATAATATGGATGAAACTGAAAACAAAAACAAAAAACAAAACACTATGCTAGAAAAGCCGAACCCAAAAGACCACATATTCTATGAGTCCATTTATATGAAATGCCCAGAATAGGCAAATCTATAGAGACAATGGGTTAGTGATACCTGGGGACTGAGGAAGGGAACAATGGGGAGTGACTGCTAATGAATATGGGGTTTCCCTTAGGGTGATGAAAATGTTGTGGAATTAGTGGTAATAAATGCTCAACTTTCCAAATAAACTAAAAACCAGTGAATTGTACATTTTAAAAGGGTAAGCTTTATGATACGTGAATTACATCTCAAAGTCTGGGTGGAGGGGCTGCTGCTCTTGCACTCCTGGCTCTGAGGTCTCAGGCTTTGCCTCACTCTGCACTTTGTTGAAACCCCCAAATCCAGTGTAGCCAGCATGAGGAGAGGCACTGGCAGCACCTGGGATTTTCTCTGAGTCCTGTTTAGCCTCCAGACAGGCTCTTCTCAACCATCTGTGAGTTCAAGGTAACTGTCTCTACCATCCACCCATCCAGCAAAATCAGAGTTAATACTGTTGGCAACAGCATTAGGCTGTTAGACACCAGTCCAGATTTGTCAAATGGACTTTTAAGACCCTGGGTCAGCTGAATGAGAAAACACAATGTATGCATCACAGAGAAAGCAGAAGCCACCAATACAGGCAATTACACAGGCACCAATGAGAGTGGCTTAAGCAGTTCTATTTATGCTACTTAGAGGTCCTGCAAAGATCCTCGTGGACCTTCCCTTGTATGGGAAAGAAGGTAATGATACATTGGTCCGCTGCCCTCTGACTGCGCCAGAAGAAACCAATTACTACTCCCTTATGGGGTGACAGAGGAACTTCTTCCCAAGGACTTCGTATTTGTCCCCAATCCCAATGCATCACCACCACCAGAAACAATGCAAAAGTACCATGCTTTGCTTGCAGTGCTCCACAGACAAAAAGGACCAGTCAGTTCCGTCAAAGAAGTTCACCCTGAAAGAGAGCAGCCATCAGAGCTGTGCCAGTTGTGTTTGTCCAAAGCAAGCTATCTTCTTAAGGAAGGGGGAGAATTTACAGTGACATGCTTGATAAAGGATGTGTCTGGAATCAGTGTGGTTAAAGGAAAAGAGCCAGAGTAAATAAAGCACAGAATAGTAGCTAACATCAGGGTGACTTCAATTTTACACATAGGAAAGGTTGACTGTCAACTCAGCAAGAGTTAATGATTCTGGAGTGTTCATGTGTTAAACCAATAATACTTTCGGATCAGCAAATGTCACAACAACCTGGGAAGTAATAGGTAAAGGATTCATTAATAGCTTTCTAATGGCAAATACTTATGTAGATCTGATGGTTGAATACATGGTATGTACCCAAAGCTTGAACACCGCAGTGGATATATGTGAACAAAACCTTCACTGATAAATGGGAAAGTTATCCCAACTCTGAGAATGAAAGTAGTATCAGATATGTAAGTGAACTTAATCTAACCAGATTAAAAGGGACCAAAGGAGACACATGTTTCTAATGTCCAATTCTGATGTCTCTTCTTCTGTGACATTTAATGTGTCCGTGAACATAAAACCAGAAATCCTAACTCATGAGAGGCCCAAGAATGGCATGCTCCAACGTGTGGCCAAAGGGTTCCCAGAGGCCATAATAGATTGGTATCTTTGTCTAAGCAGAGATGTGCAGATATGTTCATGTGCACATCTCATGTGCACATCATGTGCACTGAGCAGAAATGTTCATGTGCATCAGGCCAGTGGATATGCAGATACAGAACCCCTCTCTGTCACCGTTTGGAAAACTAGTGTTTCAAAATTCCATCAGTGGAATGTAGGACTTACAGCCAAATGGGCAAGAGTTCTGCCTTTTTGAATTTTGCATTTATTTTATTTTTAAGTATTTTGATTATCCTATTACCACTGTCCCAATTTTCCACTATTACCGTACCCAGCACCCTCTACTCCCTCAGGCTATCCTCACACCATTGTCCATGTCCATAGGTGATGCATATATGTTCTTTGGCTACTCTATTTCGTATGCTGTACTTTACATCCCCACAACTATTCTGTAACTACCTATTTGTACTTCTTGATCCCTTCACCATTTTCACCCATTACCCCCAATCCCCTCCCATCTAGCAACTATCAAAATGTTGTCTATATCTTTGATTCTGTTTATGTTCTATTTGTTTATTTCCCCTTTTAGATTCAATTGCTGATAGATATATATTAATTACCATTTTTTGTTCATATTTTTGTCCTCTTTTTCTTGAAAGAGACCCTTTAACATTTCATATAGTATTGTTTTGGTGGTGATGAACTCCTTTAGTTTTCTCTTGCCTGGAAGCTCTTTATCTCTCTTTTGATTTTAAATCAGTGGCGTCCAGCCCACAGCCTGCGGACCACATACAGCCTAGAAAGCTATGAATGCGGCCCAGCACAAAATCATAAATTTACTTAAAACATTATAAGATTTTTTTGTGATTACATGTCGCAATGTCACATAAAACAAATGTACATATGCTCTTGCTATTTGTGGCTTCAGTTTTATGGTGGTGTGCTGCTTCCAGTGTGTTATCTTCCAAGTGCAAACAGTAGAATTGACACTATCAGATGTTACATGTGCTAGTGGTGACTTAGTGAGGCAGGCAGCAATTATCAATAATATTTCAACCTACCATTGCAACATTAGGTGTTTAATGTTATTTAGAACTCAGGTAAGAATTCTTATTTGATTATTAAGGGTAATTCCACACCTCAGCAGCGCCTTACATATCGCCTGCCATACTTTACAATCGGCTCTCTACCTTGCCCTGCATCAGTAGCTGAGAGGGCTGTGGAAGGGCCCAAACCTTGCTTTCTATTTTCTTGTCAATTAATTCTCATAATAAAAGTAAATAAAATCCCTTATCTATTAATATTTTTAATTCCAATATGGCTTCTACAATATCTCAAAAAAAACACCCCAAAAGTTACAGAAAAATTATGGATGAAGGAAGATTGTTCAATGAAAAGTGGACAGATAACTACATTTTGGTGGAGGCAAATAGTAAGGCACTATGCTTTATTTATATGGAATTTGTGCAAGTTTTCAAAGACTATAATTTGAAAAGGCATTATATGCAAAAACATGCTGCCAAATTCAATGCATATGAAGGATCATGTGGTCAGGACAAAATAGCACAACTGAAAAAAGTCTCTTCTCAACAAAAATCTTTTCAAAATGTTACAATGGGTGGACTCCACTGTAAAAGCTAGTTATGTGGTAGCATTTAATAGCAAAAACTCAAAACCATTTACTGATGGTGAGCTTATTAAGCACTGTATAGAAAGTGTGGCAGATATAATTTGCCCTGAAAAAAAGGGGGATGTTTCTAAAATCAGTCTGTCTCACCAGGCTATTATAGCCAGATGAATTGAAGAAATTGGAAAAACCTGTTGAAAGAAGTTTGGAGAGTAAAGATGCTAATTTAAAATTTTGTGCTTTGGTGATGGATGATTGCACTGATGCTACAGATACGGCTCAACTTACCATTTTTATTAGAGGTATTGATGATAAATGTAAGGTAATTGAAGAATTGGCTTCTTTAGTGCCATTAAAAGACATGACTAGCCCTGGCTAGTGTGGCTCAGTGGATTGAGTGCTGGCCTGCATAACAAAAGGTCACCAGTTTGATTCCCAGTCAGGGCATTTGCCTTGGTTGCGGGCCAAGTCCACAGTTGGGGGTGTGCTAGAGGCAACCAGTCAATGTATCTCTCACATACCCATGTTTCTCTCCCCTTGTTTGCCCATCCCTTACCCTCTCTCTAAAACTGAATAAATAAAATCTTTAAAAAAAGACACAACTAAATCAAGAGACTTATACAAAGCAGTAAAAAACATTAAAGTGACTTTCTTTGTCTATTGCCAACATATCTGATATAGCTACTGATGCTGTCCCAGTGCTGGTAGGTAAGAGAAGG